AAACTGAAACTGAGAAAAGTAAAACTGGATACTGAGGACTACTGTATTTAATAATAATAAACATATCCTAGTCCTAGCCCACTATATTGGGTATTTCAGAACTGTTTATAGAATTGAGTTGAAAGAAATGCCTTTTCCCTGCTTTCCACTGGGATGTCCCATGTAACTTCTGCTTTCTTCCTTCCTTCTGTCCCTCACTTTCCCAGTTCTTGGCCCAGCTGAAGATCATGGACTACAGCTTGCTAGTGGGCATCCATGATGTGGACCGAGCCGAGCAGGAGGAGATGGAGGTGGAGGAGCGGGCAGAGGATGAGGAGTGTGAGAATGATGGGGTGGGTGGCAACCTGCTCTGTTCTTACGGCACACCTCCGGATAGTCCTGGCAACCTTCTCAGCTTCCCTCGGTTCTTTGGTCCTGGGGAATTCGACCCTTCTGTTGATGTCTATGCCATGAAAAGCCATGAAAGTAAGTAGGAACCTGTGTCTGTCCTGTCCAGCCCTGCCTCCATACCACCCCCTTCAGGCTCATTGTTCAGACACTTCTGTAAGTGTCCAAACCTCCACCTCATTCACTGCTGATTTCAGCCTCCTGGTTCTGATCACTATCAGTCACTAGGGCTCTGGGGTTCCTTCTCTGTCTGGCTTTCCTTCACTTCTCTGCTCGTCCTGGATGACTGAGGTTCTGCTCGAGTTCATAGGACAGACAAAACCTTGTATGTGTATATACTGTCATGTCAACCCTACAGGGTAGTTGTGAAGATCAGAGAACTATGAAGGCTTCTGAGAAAGAGCCCAATAATCATTCCTGTTTTCAGCTCCTGAGTGGTAGGGATAGATCTGAACCTTATGTCTGAAGGGCTGTGTCTTCTAGCTGCATTCTGCTCTTCTCCCTGCCACTGTGTCCTCCTTCCCTGCTTCCCTCATCTTTCAGGTGCGCCCAAGAAGGAGGTCTATTTCATGGCCATCATTGATATCCTCACGCCATATGACGCTAAGAAGAAAGCTGCACATGCTGCCAAAACAGTGAAACATGGGGTGAGTCCTCTCTTCCTTGGCCAGGGCCCAGTGAATGGGGTGTATCTGCACTCCCCTCTGGCCCCCAGAGAGGGCAGTCTCAGGCCTCCTGCTCAAAGGGACACCCTGACCTGCTCCTTCCCAGAGTAGAGAACTGGAAGAGCAGTCTGCCTACCTTGCCTTGTGTTCCCTGCCATCTGCACCCCACCCCCTCCCTGCCAGGCCAAGTAATATGCCCAACTTGTTTTTCCTTCAGTTCTCTGGCCCTTGGGGCCCTGAGCCCGCCAGCTCCTTTCCCCTGGGACTACTGGGCATGTTGTGCATCTTGTTGAACAGCCAGTAATAGCTTTGTTTACATGCCCACACTGCTCCCCATAGGCCTGTTTCCCCATGGACTTGAAGCCACTGTTTTCCACATGGGGGCCTCTCTATTACCTCCCTACCACCTTTCCTCTACCTTGGTTAGGCCTGGGACTAAAAATCAGAGTGGGGCCAGGACAATTTGAGATGTGTGAACCACTTCCTAAGGTGGCCTGCTCAGTCTGTCCAGTTGATTCAGCTCTGATGCTGAATAAGAGGCTCCTGAATACCCAGGCTCCTCCCAGGTGCAGCCTCCTGATTAAGGCCAAGGAACTTGACCTGAATTGGCTTTTGTGTATTACAGGCAGGGGCCGAGATCTCGACTGTGAACCCCGAGCAGTACTCCAAACGCTTCAACGAGTTTATGTCCAACATTCTGACGTAGTTATCTTCTGCCTTCAGCCAGACCCACAGAGCTGGATATGGGGCCAGGGATCGGGAGAGGGAGAGGGTGCACTGGAGCTAGATGGGAGGGTGGGGTACAGATTGGGGGGTTGGGAGAGAGCTTTAGCAATCATACTACAGTCTGTGACACTGAAAGAGACTAGCTGGGGAGGAGGGGGATGGCTGCGTGTGCTCACAGGATGTACCCTCACCTTCTGCTTACCCTTTATTATTTTTTTTTTTTTACCACATTTGATCCATGTTAAAAAGGGGTTCCCTTTTTGGTACCTTGTAACCTTTTTAAGATACCTTGGGGATAGATATGATTTATTTGGTTTATTTGGGCTTTGTTTTAGAAATTTCATTGCTCCAGGTTTGTTATTTAAAATAATGTATATCATCACCCTATCCACCCTACCCTGCCCAGCTCTCACTTCCCTTCGATAAGAGAGGCACCTGATAGACCCAGCACACGGGTCCTCTCAGAGTAAGGTGCGCTGATGGCAGATTGGAGAGGAGGTCAGACGCCTCAGCCCTGCTGCATTTGATCTTCTCTGGGTTAACTTTTTAATTTTATGGAGTATTGTGCACAACTTCCTCCACCTTTCAACCTTGGATCCACGTTGAAATTACATTATTCCTCCATCCTGTCCTCCAGTGCTGTCCTCCCAAAGGAGTACTCCAGATCATCACCAAGCATCTCAGATCAGAGTCAGGATCTCAGAGGGGAGTGAGTTCATCCTCATGGCTGAAGGTGGGATGGTGGCAGGGGAGAGAGCTGGCTGAGTTCTCAGACATCTGGTTCTCAGAGAACCCCGTGATCATCACCCAAGCCGCAGACTCAGCCCCTGGAGTTCAGATGTCTTCTGTGTAAAGCCTGCCTCCCACGGGTCAAGAGGAACTAGAAAGTACCTTTGGATTTACCAGGATTACCCTCCTGCTTAAATGGCTGTTTCCCTTTGGGAAAACACCAGAAACTGATAAGTATCAAATGAGGTCTTATGCCCTCCATCCATTTGCTTCCTTCTGACCTCCTCCCAGGCACCCTCACTCTGGCTGAGCTTTTAGCTCCAAGCACCTGGGATGCTCTTTGCAGAGATACCTCTTCAAGCCCCAGGACTACCATGTAGGTAATCTGGCTCCCTGTGCCTGTGGTCTGTCACCTGGACAGTTACAGCCAGCAAGGCGCTCCCTACTCTGGAGTGTGGCATCCAAGCCCGAGGTTGCTTCTGAGTCACTTGAGAATGTGACCTAGGAAATCCAATTTGGAGGCTTGATGTGGGTTTTACTCACCCCCACAGACTTTTCTTATTGCCCCCATCTAGACTGTTAGCAGATCTGCAGTCTGCAGGTATCCTTGGAAGGAGTGGCACCTGGCCGCTTCCTTCAGGTTTTCCACCCACCTTCAGAGCCTGCTACCCAGACCCTCAGAACTGAGCCACATGTGTCATTCTGATGCCATCAGAGAGTCTGGTCTGGCTAGGAGAGGAAGTGGCCCTATTGCTCTGCATTGGGGGAGGTACATTATTACATCTTCTCAGCCACTCACCAGGAACTTAGGATTTGGGATATGAGATACGGTGAGATTTGTAGATAACTCCAAGGATGTGAAGATGGTTTGTGGAACCATTTTGAATGGATAGATTGGTTTCCTGTGGCTCTCTTCAAACCTGGCCAAGCTCAGCTTCTGGAGCAGGAACCCGCATTGTGTCTGTGCCCTACTCACAGCACATAGGTTAGGAAGGAATGGAGATGGCACTCTGAGGATATCACTGAGGCTGCTGGATGGGGTGGGAGCCCTTCTGGGAGGGGCAGATGGGACTCAAACCACTGCCCTTGCCCCAGGAAGGGGCCACAGGTAGCTCTGAACAACTGTGGGAAGACCACTAAGTGACTTGGGGAACTTGGAATCTAGTGGCTCATGGAGAAAACAAATTTGATTTAGGAAAGGGAATATGTAAGGAATAATTTCTGGACTTGATTTCCCCACCTCATAATCAAGAATGAAAATTTGGATCTGCTCCTAGTCAGGCCCAACATCTCCAAAGCGTGGAAGGCTATCTTCCTGCAGCCTCCACAGCCTTGGATGCCCACTGGCTTCTCTGCATTTGGTCTGCTGATCATGTTGCCATAATGTGTATGAAATGTGTAACACAATCTTAACAGTTAAAGACTACCCTACCAGGTATCTAACTTGTTTTAACATTGCGTGTGTAGGTGTATGTATGTGTGTGTGTATGTATGTGTGGGGGTTTTTTTGTGTGTGTATATTGTTTACATTTGAGAGGTAGCGTTCTGTTTCAAATGCTTTTTGTTTTATGACAGTATTGTTGATTGGGTCAAAACATTTTGAGCTGTGGCTTGGTGGATTTTAGATTTTTTTTTAAAGGTCATTTTCTGTGCTATATTCAAAATCTTTGGCTTTCTAATTCTTTTGGCATTCACATGTTTAAAAGCTATTTATCTTGGTTTATACAAGTTTTCTTTCTCTTGTTTTATAATGATAAAGATGCTCTATTTGGTCTGCAGTCTGAATGTAGAGAAAGTGAACTGATCTCCGAACAATCATCTGCCCTAATGCTTTTCTCCCTGAACCCCACCATTCCCTTCTGGGCAGTAGAAGGTATCTGAGGGGAAGTGACCACCCTCAGCCTCACTCCTTGGGGCCCTGCAGGAAAGCTAATCATTCTTAGGGCATCCCAGAATAATTTTGGATCTCCCAAGAAGAAAAGAGTATAAGAAGGAGGACATGGCTGATTGGGTGAGGCCAGGATGAGCATGAGAACAGGATTCCTCCCCATTCCCTCATTCCACCACATATGGGGCAGCATCCAGTCTCACCTTCTCCAGTCCCTACCCTCTCCTTCCAAAGGTCCACAGCTAAGAAAGGAGTCTCTGCCCAAAGTGAGAATTGTCCTAAAAACTCCATTAAGAAGACCACTAGATGGCCTATGGCCCTGTTCCTGTTAATTAACCACTAGGTCTATGTCCCCCAGCACAAGCTCCTTCCCTGTGCCAGGCAGCTTGGGGGTTCCAGGGCATGCTGGGAAGCAGTGGTTCTAGGCGCACAGGCTGAAGCAGTGCTCCATCTTTCCTTATCTAGCTCAGGGGTCACTGGTCTGTGGCAGGTGTCATGAGTTGCCCCAGTGCCTGTTCTTAGTGGCACTCTCTTCAGTTCCCACCACAGGCAGCTCTTCCTCCTCTCTTACTTCACTTTTTTCTCTTGTCTGTGCTTTAGGCTTGAATGGATCTGGTAGTGCTCAGGGTGTGAGACTAGATTCCTGCCCTGGTGACTTCCTTCCCCTCTATGGTCTACCAGGGCCTGCCTTGGGAGGTGGACCAAAGACCCAGGACTTTTCTCAGTAGCCAGTCCTACCCCCCAGTTGTCTTTTTACCAATTCAGGATGGAAGAAAAGAAAAACTTCAGTAGTCTCCAGCATTTGAAATACTCAACTGTTGGGGGCCAGAAGGGACAGTATGTTTAAATAACCTTCAGAGCTCTGGCCTTAAACCTGTGGCTCCCCCAAGTCTAGAGACCTCACTTCTTTCTGGCAGTAATGTGGGCAGGGGCTTCCTCCTACGGAAAACACATTCAGACAACTGCCCCCAAATCTACCAGCCATCTATAGGGGGCAGTGATAAGGCCCTAGCCCTCCTCTGATATGTGCCATTTATAGTGCCCCCAAAGGAAAAAGGAGACTCAGCTGTTCCTCAGCAGGTTGTGCTGAGATTCCAGGAAAGAGAATAGGGAGAGTACACCCACAGGAGTCCCTTGTCCTTGCCCAGAGCTGTTTTGTAAGGAAGTGGGAGCCAACAATCTTTAGGGGACGGCCCAGTGCTGCTCAGCACACCCCCGGCATCAGGTCACATCATTGTAATAAAAAAATGTGAATGATGTTTAGATTCAACTTTTGGAAAAGCAGGACAAACCATCCCATCATGTGTGTGACTTCTCAATTTCCCATTTCAATCTACATTTTTTAAATAGGAATTTTCAACCCCTTGTGCTTGTCTAATGTCTGCTCTAAACAGTTTGAGACTCTGTTACTGTTTTAAAATGCATGCATGTTAAGATGAATCTCCAACCTGAGGAAAATAAAACTCAAAAAGCTTTGTGTATATCTGTTATGTGAGTCCTTTGGAAATGGCTTCCCCACCTCCATCCCCCCCCCACCCCGAATTAAAAGGTTTTGGTCCTAGTTTTAGAGGCATTTTGGGCTAAATCAATGTATGGCTGGAGTTCAGAGAAAAAAATGTGGTCAGTGATATCCCCTTTCAGATGCAATTCATAAGCAGTGGTTAAAAGCACAGCACTGGGGTCTGCCTGTTAGCTGTTACTACTGTCCACGTGGAGGGATGGACAAACCACCCTCTGCTTCACTCCTCCAGTGTTATAACCAACATTGGCTAGGAGCAACACCAGACTTCAAGGCCCAGCTTTCCCCTAATTAGCTATGTAGCTGACTTTGAACTTGTACCTCTTTTTTTTTTT